TTGTCCTCAACTATCAGTACAGAGGCTTCTAACGCTCTCTGTCCCAGTTTTGTCCTCGGTGATCACCATGGTTCATTGATGAAGCAAGAAGGGAGATGGCTAGAGTGCTGTGGGTTGGAGTCTGATGTGGAGTCAAACTGATCCTGACATACCGATTTTTAAGACTGTATGCTATTATTATATAGGAGGTAAAGAGGGGCTGTTCAGTCTCTGACAGTGGAACTATTCTGAGCTGTTGATAGCTTGATAAATGCTAGTGACCTCCAGTCAGCAAAACTGTCATGTTTTTCTCACTGTGGAGAATTTTCATGTTACTTTGAGGATAAAATCACTGGGTTCCAATCTGAGTGGAGGGGAACTGGACTGGGTCCATTGTTGGTAGAGGTCTGTGCTCAAGAAACCCGTTTTGATTATGACTACATGCTAATGATTGACCAATAGGACATCTGCCTTTTTTAGGAAGGGTCATTGAGAAGGTTGCAGCTTGGCAACTCTGGCAGTTCCTGGAGTCTTTGGATTTGCTTATATCTGGTCAGTCAGGCCTGCTTTAAATAATGAGGCATGTATTGCATTTTGTGAGTTATGCCTCAAATCCCAAACTGAGAGGTCATAAATTTTCCTTTTTCAAAACAGGCATTCAGTGAAATGGACATCAAAGTGGAGTTGCTAGGCCAGGCCTGAGTCTAGATTAGGCAGGTGGTTCAAAAGTTGTGCCAAGAAACCTTTGACCAAATAGATATCTGCTCCACACAGTTGGCTCAGATTCCAAGTTAGGAGAATCCTAAAGACTGAAGTTTTCTATGTAGGTTATGACATTTTGCAGCAGTATCTTTCTTTACTTATATTTGGACATACTCATTTTTCATGAGTAATCTTGGATTTACACAACGAGCACCATGGTATTGATGCTAGCATTAAAGTCACTTGGTTGCTTCCCTGCCTCGGCCTCTCAGTATTCCTTGACCAAAGCTATATGGTCCTGCTCCCTAACGCATTCTCAGTTCTTCTCTGCCTCAGTGTGTCCGTGTAGCGAAGCAAGATTCACCGGCACGGCACCTCCTGCTGGTTGTCCTGGGAACTAGCTCAATACCAGCACGGAGCGCACTCTGCAGGCCGATGTCTCACTTGCCTCAGGCCCCCATGTCCCTCCTGGTGCCCCTTACCCTGGGGTTCTGCCCTCCGCAGTACCCCTACTCTGGGTCTCCCAGGGGAACCCCCAACCCTCTCACCGACCTTGCCTCAGTGGCTACTGCCAGTCATCATCTAGCCCCCGCTCACTGGGGCAAACTGCCGTCTGTCATGGCCACTCATCATTGACAAGGAGGTTGGACCAGCTGCCTCTGCCTATCTCTGGGCTGCTGCCTCTGCAACCCCAGTACCTGTTTTGGCCCTTTTAGCAAGGCCCACAGCCTGGGGATTTACCAGGCTGGAGCTCCCCAGCTCCTCGTGCCTTTCCCCAGCCCTGCTCTGTTCCCTGTACCCTGAGCTCCCAGGCAGCCCGGTCCTTCTCCCTCCAAGACTGGAGAGAGAGTCCTCCAGCTTCTGGCTCACAGCCCTTTTGTAGGGCCAGCTGTGGCCTGATTGGGGCGTGGCCCCAGCTGTGGCTGCTTCCCCCATCAGCCTAGCTTTTCCCAGCTGCAGCCCTCTCCAGGACTGCTTTTAACTCCTCTTTACTGGAGTCGGGCAGCTGCCCCACTACAGTCCTATCAAGGACTCTGAAGAAGAGGGATCAGTATGGGTCTGCAGAGGTAATAGTACAGTTAGAGAGGTCCATTTACAGGTAACTAAAATTTCTCCTTAATGAACTACCTCTGCAGATCTCCACGGTTGGCAGAAGGTAGTATTGATTAGCAGGTAGTATTACACTCCAGCAGGAGGCCTTAGGAGTCATTTTGAGTAAAGACTGTAGAACTAACTGCCCTTTCGAACAGGCATCTGATCAAGTCCTAGAATTGAGAAGGTGGTGCTTTATAAATGTGTAAACTATACCTTGACATTAGCAAAGCTTTGATACGGTCTCCCACAGTATTCTTGCCAGCAAGTTAAAGAAGTATGGATTGGATGAATGGACTAGAAGGTAAAAAGAGAGCTGGCTAGATCTTCAGGCTCAACAGGTAGTGATCAACAGCTCGATGTCTAGCAGGTAGCCGGTATCAAGCGGAGTGCCCCACGGGTCAGTCCTGGGGCCGATTTTGTTCAACATCTTCATTAATGATCTGGATGATGGGATGAATTGCACCCTCAGCAAGTTTGCGGCTGACACTAAGCTGGCGGGAGAGGTAGATACACTGGAAGGTAGGGATAGGGTCCAAAGTGACCTAGACAAATGGATTGGGCCAAAAGAAATCTGAGGTTCAACAAAGACAAGTGCAGAGTCCTGCACTTAGGATGGAAGAATCCCATGCACTGCTACAGGCTGGGGACTGACTGGCTAAGCAGCAGGTCTGCAGAAAAGGTCGTGGGGATTACAGCGGACAAGAAACCAGATGAGTCCAACAGTGTGCCCTTGTTGCCGAGAAGGCTAACGGCATATTGGGCTGCATTAGTAGGAGCATTGCCAGCAGATTGAGGGAGTGGTTATGCCCCTCTGTTCAACACAGGTGAGGCCACATCTGGAGTATTGCATCCAGTTTTGGGCCCCCCACTACAGAAAGGATGTGGACAAATTGGAGAGAGTCCAGCAGAGGGCAATGAAAATGATTAGGGGGATGGGGCATATGATTTATGAGGAGAGGCTGAGGGAACTGGGCATATTTAGTCTGTAGAAGAGAAGAGTGTGTGTGGTGGGGGGGGAGGGGATTTGATAGCAGCCTTCAACTACCTGAAAGGGGGTGTTCCAAAGAGGATGGAGCTCGGCTGTTCTCAGTGGTACCAGATGACAGAATAAGGAGCAATGGTCTCAAGTTGCAGTGGGGGAGGTCTAGGCTGGCTTTTAGGGAAAACTATTTCACTAGGAGGGTGATGAAGCACTGGAATGGGTTACCTAGGGAGGTGGTGGAATCTTCATCCTTAGAGGTTTTTAAGACCTGGCTTGACAAAGCCCTGGCTGGGATGATTTAGTTGATTTTGACCAGGTGGTTGGACTAGATGACCTCCTGCAGTCTCTTCCAACCCTAATAGTCTGTGATTCTATGGATTGATTTCCCCTGCACAGCCTGGCAGATCTCATCTATAGATGCATCTCGGACCAAGCCAGCAGAAGCAGCCATGCACCATGTGGAACATGTCCGTAGACCTTCAGGAACTGGAACTCCAGTCTGATCCTAGCAGAGCTAGTTCCAATTGAAGAGTCTCTGTGTAGAAAATGCTCTATCTAAGGTTTCATCCCCATAAGCTACAAAGAGTTGGTAGGATACGGGGAATGGTGATTCCCTTCAAGTGATTACTCCTGTGTATTCCACAGTAGGTGTGCGTGCTCGCCACGTGCACCGGTGCCAGAAGTTTTTCCCTTAGCAGTACCTGTACTGGGGGAGCACCGCTGCGACCCCTGGAGTGGCGCCTGTATATCATGCTATAAGGGGAGCTACGGGCTCCTCCCGCCCTCCTCAGAACCCCCCTATACGGTTTTCCATAGGGATAAAGTCCAGCTCCGCCCACACCTGACATTCCTCCCAAAGGTGGTCTCCGCCTTTCATGTGGAGCAGAGCATCTTCCTCCCCGTGCTCTGTCCCAAGCCCCACCCCTCTAGCGAGGAACGCCACCTCCACACGCTCGATGTGCGTAGGGCGTTGGCTGTTTATCTGGATCGGACTAAGCCGTTCCGGAAATCCGCTCAACTCCTTATTGCCTCGGCCAAGCGGGCAAAGGGGCAACCCATCTCCACCCAGCGGCTTTCCCACTGGATTACCTCGTGCATACGCACGTGTTATGATTTGGCAGGGATTCCCCTGCCACCAATTGTAAGGGCACACTTTACGAAGGCTCAGGCCTCATCAGCTGCCTACCTCACCCATGTCCCCATCCAGGACATTTGTAGGGCGGCCATGTGGGCCTCTGTTCACACATTTACTTCGCATTATGCGATCGTCTCCCAGTCTAGGGATGACGCCGGGTTCGGCAGGGCGGTACTTCATCCTGAACCATCGTGAACTCCTACCCACCTCCAACAGATATTGCTTGGAATCACCTACTGTGGAATACACGGGAGCAATCACTCGAAACAGAAAGGACAGTTACTTGTTCCGTAACTGGTGTTCTTTGAGATGTGTTGCTCCTGTCTATTCCACACCCCGCCCTCCTTCCCCTCTGTCGGAGTTGTCCAGCAAGAAGGAACCGAGGGTGCAGGGAGCCCGTAGCTCCCCTTATAGTGCGATATACAGGCGCCACTCTAAGGGTCGCAGCGGTGCTCCCCCAGTACGGGTACTGCTAAGGGAAAAACTTCCGGCACTGGTGCACGTGGCGAGCACGCACACCTACTGTGGAATACACAGGAGCAACACATTTTGAAGAACGCCAGTTACGGAACAGGTAACTGTCCTTTTTGTCCAAAAGATAAGACATTTTTTGGCATATAAGTTATGCAGTCATGGCTCATCCACAAGGCTTCACAGTATTTTACAGAAAAAATAACTGTTTTAGTTACTCTGATTTTTTTTTTAAACTATTACTCATAATCATGAGTTAACTTGAAGTTACCAAATATACTGCATAATTGTTAAATGGTAGAACTATTTTAATCTTCTAGGTCATTTTCTCCTTTTTAAAAAAAAAAAAGGGGGGGGAAAAAAGAGAGAAAAAGACATAAGCTTAAAATGACATATTTTTTAAATTTATTCTTTTGGGGGGGAATAGGAAAGAGGAGGCAAGTCATCACTATGTGGGTTCATAAGAGAAAAAGCTGGCATCTTTGACCCACTAATAATGAGTGTTACAGCTTCCCATGATGTCTAACTGGAAAGAAACTCATCTGAGGCATATCCATACCTGAAGTGTTCATGGACAGAGATGCTCTAGGACAGTGGTTCTCAACCAGGGATACACGTACCCCTGGGGTTACGCAGAGGTCTTCCAGGGAGTACTCAACTCATCTAGATCAGAGTTTCTCAAGCTGGGGGTTGCCGGATGGGTTTAGGATGGTCACCTCCGGCGTTAGGGGGTGGCAAGCAAGACAGTTGCCTGGAACCCCACATAACTGGGGGCCCCATGAAGCTAAGTTAAATGCTTCAGCCCCAGGCAGTGGGACTCGGGCTTCAAATAAGGTTCACAAGAGAAAAAGAGGCTCAAGTATCACACCAACTGATGTATTTTATAATTATATGGTAAAAATGTAAAAGCAAGCAATTTTTCAGTAATAGTGTGCTGTGACACTTTTGTATGTTTGTCTGATTTTTGTAAACAAGTAGCTTTTTTAAGTGAGGTGAAACTTGGGGTACGCAGGACAAATTAGACTCCCTTAAAGGGGTACAGTAGTCTGGAAAGGTTGAGAACCACTGCTGTAGGAAACAGCAGACGAGTACGGCCAAAATCTCTCTAAAGGCTGTTGTAGACTTTGAATAAATGAATGTGGCTTTGCATCTCTGATGTAAGTGGGCCAATACTGGTGGGCACAAAATGTGTCTCTCAGTCTTTGGAATGAATTGAAGTGTCAGTATATTTAAAATTAAATAAACTCTCTGAAAAATAAGCTCTAAAAGAGAGACAAAAATCATAGACATAATTATTCACTCCCTTTGAAAAGTAAAATTTGTACCTTGTTTTCTAGGCTGGTAAATCAGAGACTTCTGGAGGTGCAGTCACAGGTTGAAGAATTGCAGAAATCTTTGCAGGATCAAGGTTCAAAAGCTGAAGATGTAAGTAGAAGTGTACATCATACCTATATTCAAGTACCCACAGTTATCCTAACTTACCCTTTATGTGATACCAGCTACATATTATATCATGAGGAAATAGTCCAGATACGGATTTCTGGCAGTTTTTCATTCTCCCAAGTTTAGATTTCAGCAACGTGGCCTAAAATTAAACTATGCCTACTTCTTGTAAAGTGAGACTCTTGTCTAAAACAAATAAATGTAAACCAATTATCACGTGTAGAAAAGAAGTGAAGTGCATTCCCTGTCTTGTCATCTTTAGTGTCCCTGTTCCTTTGGTAAATTCAACATTGATTACAGTTCTGTTTGTACTCTGTAGATTAGTGAGATTTAGAAAATCAAGGCCATACTATGTGAATTCACCACTCTCAGTACCATTTAGTAAAATATACCGTGGTTTTTGTTTGTTTTGTGTTATTTTCCTGAAGCAAAGTCCTTCCTTACCAAAGAAAACCCAGGAATTGCTGTTATAAATGTACCTGCATAGTGCAAATTAGGGTTGAGATTTTACACATGCCAGAGCCAAGAAATTCAAATGATCAGCCCTCTTACTAATGCAGTATTGTCCCTCCATGCATGCCTTGATAAACCTGACTGCCTTTTTAATGCAGTGTGGGGAAAAGGTACAGTTGCTGTGGCGCCATAGCTTAAAATTCTCCATTGAGAATTCTTTTTGGAGATCCCCACTTTTGAGAGCGCATGCTTTAAAAGCCACAAGCGCCAGAGCTCTCTAGAAAGCAGTAACCTTTGGGGTTGTGTGTATGCTCTCTTGCATATCCAAATGTATATTACTTTCTAACCCATAGTCACAAGTCTTCAAGCTGTTGCTTTCTTCTTCACTGTTGTTTTAAAGCAGACTTAGGGCAGGTCTACACCACGGGGCTAAGTAGACCTAAGTTATGCAACTCCAGATATGTACCTTAAGACGACTTATTGCAGCGTCTACACTGCTCTGGGTCGACGGGAGAAACTCTCCCATCGACTTATCTTATGCTTCTCGTTCCGGTGGAGTACTGGAGTCAACGGGAGAGCAATTGGTGGTCAATTTAGCAGGTCTTCACTAGACCTGCTAAATTGACCCCCAGTGGATTGATCGCCGTAGCGTCAATCCACTGTAAGTGGAGACAACCACTGTAAGTGGAGACAAGTGGAGACAAGCCAGGTAAGAAATCACCGGCAAAGCAGTTTTCTTTCCCTAATATTTTTTTGAGATAGAGATAAATTAGTTATTAAATGTTTTGTTTTTTTTTAAATCCACCTCCTGAATATTTTTGCCAATGTTTTTTTATGATAATTGTGTACAGGTGTTTCAGACTACAAATGCTTTTTGTGTAATGACAGTAGGATAAAACTGACTTCTAATTATCTAATTACCTTTGAGTATTTATCATAAATGAATAAACTGTTTCCCACCTGGGAGAAAAAGGCAAAACAGCTGGTGGGAGTTTGCTAGCTGCTGTAGGGAAATTTCTGTTATTGTGGATGAAGGTTTTGAGCAGGGCTAATGGCAAACAATTGTGAAACTTTCAAAAAATGAAGAGGACGATGTCAATGTCAATTATTTTTAAAAGGAGAAAATGAATTTTTCCTCCTATTCAGTATAGTAATCCTAAGGGTTACTTGTAACAACAATAGGTACAACATTTTGAGACAGAAATGTGTTTTTCAACTTGGCAATGCCCTTTAAAAGGGTTTGCTATACATTTTTGCAGCACATCACTTCTTTACTTAGTTATTTAATTCAAATATATTTGTTACTGTCCCTGAAAACTTTATATGGTGCTGTAGGTTTATGCAGCAATCTAGAATGGGTAAAATGTGCCATATAAATATCAGCTTCACTACAGTGCAATACAGAACTCAAGCATAGGATGCATAATGCATCCTTTTGCCTAATCTTCCATCACTGATAAAGTATAACTCAGTTCTCACCTTTGTGCCTCTTCTTGTTATTGTTTATATTGTATCTATCCAAATGAGATTACATGTCCTTTACAGTAGAAACCTATCTTAATTGTGTTTCTAAAGCACAATTCACATCTTTGGTGTTGCGCAAGTAATAAAAATAAAAGCAAGTGCATGCAGGCAAAATCAACTCAGTCAAACGGCCACTTGTGGTCTCTACATAACTGATCAGAGCACTAAGTGGGACACCCAGATTTGAATCTTGGTTTAGTCTTCTACTCCCAAGACCTGAAGGAGACTAGACACTACTAATGGCTTGATCCTTCCTCTTTGAAATCAATGGGAATAATTGAGTCCTAAGTGTCCAGGGATAAAATACCTTGTGACTATACCATATCTCCTTTCCCAGGTGATATATACAACAGTTTGTAACAGTTGTTTAAAGGAGCCATATGCCTGTCTTCCATTACAGTTGGTACAGAGACTGCGAAAGTAAAAGGAAAAATTCCAAGGATGAAGGAACCAAAAACCACACAGGGTTGGATCCTTAGTTGGTGTAAATTGTTGTAACGCCATTGAAGTTGGATTTTCACCAATTTGTATCACTTGAACAGCTGGCCCACACAACCTTTTGCCAGAATAGGAAGTATATCAAGAAAGTCCTACTCTGAAATAATCAGAGCCTATCCTCAGAGACAAGGAAGAGAGTGAGTGTAAAAACAGTATTTTAAAATGCTTAGCCCAGCTGAGAGTTTTTCTTGGACTGCACTTAAATGGTCCATATTTGGCTGTGTAGTTAATCCCCTGTTGAGGGGAATTTGGAAGTAGAGCAGTGACTTCATCATTGTACCTTTGCTGGTTATTATTATTTGAATTGCAGTAGTGCCTGGTAGCCCCAATCAAGGACTAGGACCCCATTGTGCCAGGCGCTGTACAAGCAGAACAAAAAGGTGGTCTCTTCCCCAAAGAGCTTACATTGTTTGGCTTGTATAGAATGATAATCAGTGTGAACTGAAAATAGAAATGCAGATTAATTTGACGTGAGATGCTCTGCTCAGTCACCCTCCCCAAAATAAATATTTTTCTACATCATGGCCCACAGGCCCATCCAACAGACTCAGTCTTGTTTTGTCACATCATGGGCACACCTTCAAAATGACTCTTAAAAACAGCAACTACTCTCCTATGACATTCTAGTTTGGGTATGCTGGTTCACGTATTTGCTTCTTTACTACTTTTATATTGTTTGTTTGTAGTGTGGAGGCAGAAAAGCATTCATCAGGTACGTCTAGACTGCCAATAAAAACCCTAGCAGGCCTGTGACAGCTGACTCAGGCTCGCAGCGCCCGGGCTGTGGGGCTGTTTCATTGCAGTGTAGACTTCCAGACACAGGCTGCAGCTGGAACGGGTCAGCCCCGGGTGTCAGACTGCAGTGTAGACACACCCACACAGTTGAATGCAGTATGGATAATTTGTGCTAGCTTTCTAAAAGTCCCCAGAAAATGAGACAGGATAATGAAACGACTAAGTACAGAGAGGAAGGGAAAATGTGCATATATTTCCCCCTCCCTCCCCTTTCCCCCAATGAATAGTTTTAACTTTTTCTGTTCATGAGTTAAATAGTTTCTTCTCTTGGCTGCTGTTTTTGCTTCATACTAATATGTTCTCTCTGTCTCTTGGCATGGGTTTCTGCTCAAGGCTATTGTGAGTATGGCTTTCTGTTTCCTTAACACTATCATGGTTTAGGCATTGATAAAAAAATGAGATGCTTAAATATGTAAAGTGACATTTTGTCACAAATGAAAACTTATTTTGAAGCTTAAAAAAAAAAATGTTTATCCAGCTGTGACTTAACCACGAGGTATAGCTCAGGACACCACAGGTGTAAGATATTTGTGCATCTGTAGTCAAACAATAAAGACATGAGAACAAAGAACAGGGAGAAAAACCATTGAGGCTGAATTCCTGGCCCTACTGAAATCAGTGGTGACATTTCCACAGTTTTGGTGGGGCCAGGGTTTTAGACTTAATCTGATGTTTCTTTAATGCTTTAGTAGTGCCACTCTTCAGGAAAGCTTGCTGCGTTCTCTTTTAGTTTCAGATAAAGAAGTTTGGATTAACCTGCAAGCATACCAGAGCATGGAGAAAAGAAAACAAATGAAATAGAATTGTTTTTCTAATAAATTGATCTATTCAGTATTGATCCAATTTCAGAGAAATGTTTGTAAAGCATCCTAACTTCAGTATGATCATAGAACTGTCAAGGGAAGGATAATTACTACAGTACCATAGAGAACTGCTGTAAATGTTTGGTATAAACAGAATGCAATGAAAATATGGCAGTTTTGGCATAAATGTAAAATTATGTATGTCACCGTAACTGACATAATCTCAAGTTCCACGATGTTTTAAAATAATTAACACACTTAACTTTCTATTTTAGTCAGTTCTTCTGAAAAAGAAGCTTGAAGAACATCTGTAAGTAATAAAACTTCCCAGCATTTTTTTTTGTAATAATGAAATAAAAATACTGACTTTCTGTACACTGGAGAATGCTTAGCCAGTAGCGGGAAGGTAGTCACTCATTAATGATTTGGAAGATATGTAAGCAACAGAAGTGTAGACAGCTAAATATACCTAAGGAAGCCATTATTCAAGTATTATTTACATCTTGTAGAGAAAGTCTTTGCCGAAGAAAAATAATTAAGGAAGAATAATGATTTTGTGGTGGTAGAAAAATTTGATTTAAAATGTTGTAAAGCTTAAATCAAGAGGAATAGTTCATGTTGCCCTGAAGAAAGCACTTTAATATAAACCATATTTACTTGTCCACTCTGAATTATACATTATAGCAGTGGTTCTCAACCAGGGGCATATGTACCCCTGGGGGAATGCAGAGGTCTTCCAGGTGGTACTTCAACTCATCTAGATATTTGCCTAGTTTTACAACAGGAAACATAAAAAGCACTAGTGATGTCAGTACAAACTAAGATTTCATACAGATGATGACTTGTTTATACTGCTCTATATACTATACACTGAAATGTAAGTACAATATTTATATTCCAGTTGATTTATTTTATAATTATATGGTAAAAATGAGAAAGTCAGCAATTTTTCAGTAACGGTGTGCTGTGACACTTTTTTGTATTTTTATGTCTGATTTTGTAGTAGTTTTTAAGTGAGGTGAAACTTGCGGGTACACCAGACAAATCAGACTCCTGCAAGGGGTACAGTACTCTGGAAAGGTTGAGAGCCACTGCATTATATAACAAAAGAGAAGGTAGGTGAGGTAATAGCTTTTATTGTACCAGCTTGTGTTGGTGGAAGGTACAAGCTTTCAAGCACAGTTCTCTTCTTTGTGTGGGGCAGGAAGAAGAGTGTCTGGGCTCAATACAAGCTGGGACAGATTGTTCAGCAGAAGGGGTAATGCATTTGGAAGCGGTCACTTTTTAAATGAAGTAGGATGAGGGGTTCGGGGCAGGGGAGTGAGGGCTGTGGGCTCTGGGGCAGGGCCAGGGATGAGGGATTTGGTGTGCAGGCTGCCCCGGGGCTACGGCGGGGGGACAGAACTCCCCACAGCTCTCTCTCGCCACAGCAGCACCTGGGCTGGGGGGAAGAGGCGCCTTTCCACACTGCAGCAGCTCCGGCACTGGGGCCACAGGATAGGCGCCTTTCCTCCGGCCGCAGCAGGTCTGGGGATAGGCTGGAGGAGGGGAAAAGGGAGGGGTACCTCTTCCCCAGCTGCGGCAGGTCCAGACTGGGTTGGTGCCAGGAGAGGGATGCCTCTCTCCCGGCCGTGGCAGGTCCGGGGCTGGGGAGAGGCATCCCTCCCCGCTGCAGCCCTGAGCATCAACACGGCGCTTAATAGGCTGCTCCATGACCACGCAGCTTACAGGGAACTCTAGCCTCCAGAAACTCCACGTTAACAACCTCCCCCTGAATACCATGGATGTCACCTCCCTATACACCAACATCCCTCACCATGACAGCATCGTTGCCTACCTCAAATACAAACAAAATAATGAACAATGCTTGGAAATCCACCCAAAACACATCCGTGTCATCTTCACCCACATCAATTCCACATTTAACAATGAACACTTTGGCCAAACCATGGGAACAGCCATGGGTACTAGAATTGGCTTCCCAATACGCCACCCTCTTCATTGACCACTTCGAGGAAAAATTTCTGGAAAAATGCACCATGAAACCAATGATATAACTGCGATACATAGATGATATTTCCATCATCTAGACAGAAGTCCTAAACTTCCTCATAGATTTCCACCACAACTTCAACCACCACCACCCAACCATCAAACTATCTCTAGAACACTCTCTTGACTTTCTGGACACCACAATTAGTTCAAACAATGGAATCCTACAAATGACCATATACAAGAAATTCATTGATCACCACACTTACCTCCACAGATCCAGCAACCACCCAGACATAACAAAAAATCTGTTATCTGCAGCCAGGCACTCATATACCACTGACTTTGCTCGGAAGGAAGAGTCTGGGCTACACAACTAAACACACTATAATCTGCTTTCTCTAAACAAATACATTCCACCAGAGAAGTAGATCACATAATGGAATGAGCCTCCCAAATATCCCAAGAGAACCTGCTTTAGTCCAGAAAAAACCACACTTACTGCACACCCCTAGTTGTCACCTACCACCATACTGGAACCCATACGGGGTATCTTCAAACAGTTACAACCCATATTTGATACGGACTACATCCTGAAAGAAATGTTTCCTGAACCCCTTCTTCTGGCCTTCAAACTACCCCCAGCCTTGTGAAGTTGATCATCAGAAGCAGCTCCCCACAGACCAGGACGCACCAAGTAACAGCGGCACCAGACCCTGCCAGAAAAACAGATGCAAAACCTGCAGAGACACAGCAGGGGAGATATCATACCCCCCATAACATAGCTTTCAAGATTCATGGATCCTATGCATGCTTATCAGAACAGATGGTGTACCTCATCCAGTGCATCGAATACCCAATAAGTATGTGGGTGAAACCAGATGTTGACTACGCTCTTCAGTGGACTCTCACAGGAAAATGTTAAACCTAATATCTGTGGGCGTACACTTTTCACAAAGTGATCACTCCATATCTGATCTTTCAATCCTTGTCCTCAAAGAAAACCTGCACAACACCTTCCAAAGGTGAGCCTGGGAACTTAAAATCAGAACTCTGCTGAACACCAAAAACCATGAACTTAACAGGGACAGTGATTTTTATGGCTCATTACAACAAACTGTAACATAGCACACTGCCTACTACCCTTCATGCATAACCAATCTAACTCCCAGTTGCCTACTTCATTTCAAGTGGTCACCTCCAAAAGTCATTACCCCATCTGCTTTAACAGTCTGTCTCAACTTCTATTTAGCTCAGATACTCTGCTTCCTTCTCCAGAGCAGAAGAAGAGCTCTGTGTAGCTCAAAAGCTTGTACCTACCACAAACGCAACTTGGTCCAATAAAAGATATTACCCTCCCCTACCTTGTCTCTCCCATCGCCTGGGACCAACAGGGTTACAACATGACAAACAGAATAAAAGATAACATCTTAATAAATGTGATCATTTTGTTTTACCATTTACGCACTTGTCTTAATTTTACACTTTTCTGAACTGCAGTTGTTACCTAAAGTTCTTCTTCAAGTGGTGGTCCCTATATGTATTCCATACGTATATGCGCATGCACACTATGTGCCTGAATCCAGAAGTGTTTCTAGCAGTATCCGTTGACCCGCACGTACGTAGTGCGTCCCCTTGTGTTCACAGCCAAGGATATAATAAGGCGTGCGGGCCGATGTCTCTTCAGTTCCCTCTTACCGCCGCGTGGCCTGAGTCAGAACCCCTGTTCCTTCACACAGGATTCTCTCTCAACCACAAATGGGAGTTACATAAGGCCACAGTCTGATACTTCTTCCACAAATGGGACATCTGGTGATGGAACCTCTTTGCTACTCGTGAGAACTTAAAGCTGCCCCTTTATTGTTCCAAAGGGGCCATGGGAGAGGACTCGCAGGGCAACACTCTTCTCCTCCCCTGAACAAGCGACCTCCACTACGTCTTTCCCCCCATTCCCCTCCTCCCACAAGTGTTACGCAAGATCCACCGGCACCGAGCTACCATAATACTCATAGCCTCATTCTGGCCCCGTCAGTTTTGGTTCACAGATCTCCTCAGACCCTCCACCCACACACCACTCTGCCTCCAAACACTCCTGGATCTCCTCATACAAGATCAGTGCCGGCACCCCAATCCGGGCCCTCTTTGCCTTACGGCCTGGTTTTTGGATGGGGCTCAACTGTAGACAGAGCACACCAGTGCGACACATTCTTAACCAAAGTAGGGAGGGCATCCACTTGGGCCTGCTTCCAAGCTAAATGACAACGCTTCACCTTATGGGCTCACTGTCATCACCACCCAACAGTGCGATATCTATACCTATCATCCTCAACCACCTTCTCAATCTCAAAACATCAGGTCTTGCCCTCAGCTGTTTATAAGTCCACCTGGCAGCGCTCAATGTCTTTCCCCTCTTCCTCTCCTCCCCCTGCCCCCCGTGGATGGCGCCTCCGTGTTTCACACCTTACCGCTGTCCATTTCATGAAGTGTCTACTCAAAACCTTCCTGCCAGTACTGAAGACCCCCCACCACCGTGGGACCTTAATCTCATTCTCTCCGCCCTCACAAAGCACCCTTCAAGCCTCTGGCAACATGCTCCCTCTCCCACCTTTCCATGAAGGCGACATTCTTAGTAGCCATTACCTCAGCTAGACAGGTCAGTGAACTGGTGACTGTGATTTCAGACACGCACACCTCCCCCCCTCCCCCACACACACACACCGTATTCCACTAGGATAAAGTTTCCTTGTGGCTACACCCTAAATTCCTTCCAAAAGTAGTTTCAGAGTTCCACCTAAATCAGTGCATCCACCTACCTGTTTTCTGCCCCAAACCACATGCCTCCCACTCGGACAAGGTCCTGCACTCCCTCGACGTCTGCCGTGTAAGTGCCAGTCTACCTCCACAGGACTCGCTCCTTTCACTCATCGCCAAAACTATTTGTGGCCATTGCCGACCGATCCAAGGGCCAAGCCCTCTCCTCCCAATGAATCTCCAAATGGGTCTTTAGGTGCATCCACGAATCCTAAGTATGATCCAACATGCCACCACCAGATGTAGTCACAGCCACTGTACACGAGCACAAGCAGCCACACTGGCCTGCCGCACGGACATCTCGTGGCAAGACATCTGTCGTGCAGCAACCTGGTGCTCTGTCCACTCGTTCACGTCCCACTACACCATCGCACAAGCAGTGGCTACGAACACTGCTGTGGGCCAAGCCATACTGCAGACTGCACTTCCCATCGCATCCTCTCACCCGCCTCCACACTGATCACTGCTTCCTACTCACCCACATATGGAATCTGTGTAGGGACCATCACTCGAAGAAGAGGAGGAAGTGGTCCCTATTTGTATTCCAATGCCCGCCCACCATCCCCTCTGCTGCAGACCGGCCTGCACAGAGGTAAGAGGGGATACTGGAAAGGCGTCGACCCGCACAACCTATTATACCCTCAGCTGCAAACACAGGCGGGTCAGTGGACACTGCTAGAAATACGTCCAGACTCAGGTGCATGGTGCACATGCCACCCACGGATGGAATACAAATAGGGACCACACTTCTTGAAGAACCTCCAGTTACAGGTAAGTAACCTCCTCATATGATGACCTACTGGCTTACAAGAAGTGTATAACCTCTATTTGGGGTGTTGTGGGGGGTTAGCCAGTCTTTAATAATATCATAGCTGTCAAAATTATGTATTTCAAGCAGGCTTTGTACAGCTTATTGTAAATTATAAAATAATTGTAGAATTTTGGACCAAGAATGGAGCTTTCTGATGTTACAGCTGTGCATATACAGTAATGTTTTTTCTTCTGTTTTTTAAACAGTTCCATTCTTTGTTCATTGATATCACCCAACATGCCGTACTGCCTCACAGCCAAAAGTCAGCTTTGTTATAATTTCCCAGAATTGTAGAACATGGACTTTTTTTATTGCTTAATTTTCATTTGAGATGGAGAAGAGTGTTGGAACAATAATGTATCTTTTCACAATTTGTAACAGAGAGAAGCTGCATGAGGCTAACAATGAAATACAGAGGAAACGAGCTATTATTGAAGATTTGGAACCAAGATATAACAGCAGTTGTGAGTTTTCTTCCATTAGAAAACACAGTCTTTACATAAAAAAGCTTATATGTACAGAGGGTCTTTAATAATTAACAGAGAAAACTGTAAAACGTTTTAAAAAAATGAATTGTAAAATTTTAAATGTTTTATTAATACAAAATTATAGGGAAGTCTGACAATGGTAAGCCGATATTAATTCTTGCAGAGGAGAACATCAAGATTTACTGACCCAAAAGATACTGCTAATGTTTATAGAAAGGAAGCAGAGGCCAGTTTACTAAAATCTTGATGCCCAGAGGAATGTCAAGTTAATACAGTTCTTGATTGGTCATCTTAACCTCAGTTATCTGTTGCTGTTATCTAGGGTGACCAGATGTCCCGATTTTATAGGGACAGTCCCGATTTTTGGGTCTTTTTCTTATATAGGCTCCTATTACCCCCCACCCTCTGTCCCGATTTTTCACACTTGCTCTCTGGTCACCCTACTGTTATCTGCAATAGGATCATGTCCCTGGTATCTGTTATGTTAAAAATCCCTCCATGCTTATTAGCTCTCCTGCAATATGCTGATACGTACAGCATGTTGCCTCAACATGTGTTCAGATTGTAGACTGAAATGGTGATGACGGAGGATCAGAAAAATCATTAGAGTTGGTCAATGAGAATGTGGCTTTGGACAAGTGAGCCAGTTTGGGATTTCACAGCCACACACCAAGGCCCAATTGTAAAGGACTCTAAATGGTATATTGCTTTTTAAAAAAAGGCAAATGTGTACCGCCATTACATTGAGTAGGTTGGAAAAAAAGAAGTGCCCCATCATCTTTCAAACAACAACGCAGCATCTATCTGAAGGTACCAGACAGGCTTTATTCATGAAAGAGTCCTGTAAGATCTACACACTGTTTTGTTCTGTATTAGTTTGAGTGGGACATGTTCCTTATTTTTTTTATCTTCTATAATATAAAGCATATAGCTGGGGGACTCTGATAATTCAAAGATGTGGAATTGACTAGTCAGGCCTTTGTAAACTGTCAGCCTACATAATCCTTATGCCCACTGGGTTTGAAGGGGGATACATTGGTAGGGAAAGGGCACACTTATGCATCTGTGGGAATGGGAGGAAAAATGGGCAGTAGGAGTGAGTGGCAGATGACAGTAAAGAGTTGAAGGAGGAAGTGACATTTTTAAACTGGTTCCTCTTCCCTCCCTCTCCATCATGCACACACGCCGAGAAAAGTCAAGCTGCCATTTCAGCAACAGTTTTCTCTGATTTTTCTAGAGTAAAAGCCAATCTGGGAGTTGTTCAATATTACAAATTTAGAATATTCATACAAGAGAAAAACTTAGTTCAAAAAGAGTTAAAGTAGAAAATGTTTTTCAGCCCGCAAAATAATATTACACTTTATAAAAATTCCACACCTTAAAAAATGATTAAAAGTCTGGAAATGAAGAATATGGGGATTCAGCAACTCCCCACTCCCTGAATCTCAATATTAAAGTATCTGACACCTTAAAGGGGCCTGATTTTTAGAGGGCAGGTACTTGGAATTTTTTTCATAAAGATGTCTCAAGTTGAGCACCCAGAATCACTAGCAGCTTTTGAAAATCTTAGCCTAAGCTTTTATTTGTATAGGCCTAAATGCCATTTATGAAACCTTCTCAAGTTTTTGTACTTTGAGAGTTATCCTACTCTGAAGCGTCACAATAAAAACTGTGGCTGTAATTAAATTCTTTGGGTTCTTTTAACAGGCATGAGTGGAAACACCTGAAAATATCTAGGATTGTTGGGTAGAGTAAGAAGCAAAACTTTTAAAATAGATATAACATTTCTGAGTATCCCTTTCTGCCTCTAGTAATTATCAATAAAGTAGATCTTACTTTGTCCGGTCGCATGCTCAATATTAGGCCAGTACTTGGAGAGGACATTGCCAGTAAGATAAATGGGAGTGAGTGCCACAACAAAGTGCTATTGCAAAACAGATGATCAGGAGTTGTCTGATCTGGGATTCTCCAAGAACCAAACACTGATGTCGTGCACCATTTGATCAGGGATGACAAAATCAGTCTCTTCAGACAAGTCCTTGGACGAACGATAATCTATACAGATACTGTTGGCTAGCTATCCCCATAAATCAACCCATTCAGGTATCTGTACAATGAAACTGTCCTGATGGTCAATAAAACTTATTTATAAAATGTTAAAAATAATTATTTGTTTACTTTTGTCACATTTTTGGTGAAATTCTTCAGTGTTACCTTTGGGGAAACATGTACAGGGGTTTTTTCCCCCATAGATTTCTTTAACATATATTTGGCTTAGGTGAATTATGCTGCCACAGTGTTTTGGAACGTGTACTGCATTGCTAACCCTCACTTTTATGAATTAACAATGAGTTGGCCAATAGTGGCATTAATGTAGGGCACTAGTTATCCCTTTAATTTTCCATATGCTCAGGCAGTAATGTTGTCTACAGGGTAATTATTTAACTGGTGTATACAGTGGAGTAGAATACACCGTGTCTCCCCCTTCATGTGTTTGAGTTGTTGAATACTTAACCACTGTGTCTGCTGAATTAGTAGAACATTTTGCTATCCTGACTTATGTTCTCCTTCACTAAAAAATAAGTACTAGCTATGGGTTTAATTTATATTTAAACAAACAATATTAAAGTGTTTATTTTTAATATGACTTTTTTTAAATGTGTTTCTCCCTACATGAAGCACTCAAAATTGAAGAATTGCAAGAAGCTTTACGGAAAAAAGAGGAAGAAATGAAGCAAATGGAGGAACGATACAAAAAGTACTTGGAAAAGGCCAAGAGTGTAAGTGCAGGGTGCTCTGAGCTGAGGTTTATGTTGCTTACCCACTCTCCGTGGTAATGAAAATAAATAAAACAGATCTAACAATGTTAATCACCACAGGAGAGGAAGGTAATTAATGGGTTTTGTTGTAGTTTTCAGTTTGATATCAATATGCTACATAGTATTAAGTTTCTCTTCCTGCAGAAGCCTCTACCTCAAATTCATGTTTGTACAAACCAACTTCCCCCTGCCCCTCTTCACCTATCTGTCTTTTATACAAACACCAACCAACCCCCCCACCCCCCATTGGAAGCACCATATTCATTTACACCAGTGGTTCACCCAGACCAGTATTCTGCCCTTGACAGTGACCAGCACCAAGAGGCACCTAGTAAGATAACAGTTATGTGATAACCTGCCTCATGGGGATAGTTCCTTCCAACTCTAGTCAGTGAGTTGGTTTATGTCTGAAGCACAAGGGTTAATTTCCCTTTTTAAGGTTTATTATGACAGTTATAATTGAGATGATTTTCTTACTATTCATAGAAATAGCTTATTCTATTAAGCTCTTTGCCTCAGTGAGTTCTATGGGTTAATTATATATGCACAGTGTCAAAAAATAATGTATCAATTTTAATTTCTTTGGTCTCCCCTTCTTCTTGATTTGAGAGGGTAAATAGG